GTTATGAAAATGTGCGACTTCATGACAATTTGATTTATCAATTAGCATTAGGTAAATCGCGAAATCCTTCTTTGTGACCAAAGTTCAAAGTTATTCTTTGAAATTTGTAAAATTCTTAATAACGTAAGATCAGATACATCCAGCCGCAGTGGTAAATTCAAGAATTATATCACTAATAAAATGGGTTATATTCTATCTATCATCTCATATTGATCACTTCGATAGTATCATAATACCAAGGACATTATTGGATGCTGGGATCATATTTCATATCATATGATTGACATTTTATTTTTCATATTTTTAGAATTTTAAATGAAATTTTACATTAAAAAAAAATTTAACCGTTAAAACATCAAATAATTTTCCTTTTTTTGTTCGAAAATATGTAAGGATTTTGATAATCAGATAACGATAGCAATGATCGTTTAAAATTGTATTTGTAATTTTAACAGTTTGTCCTACTAGGCCATTTTCCGTTACTATTGGTACTATTCATACATATTCCAGTTGTTCATATATATATATTCGAATATATTTGAATTTTATTTTCCATGCAAACAAAAGTATTTCCGTGGTTTGCTGTAACATTGTCATATTTTTTTGAAAAAAAAGGATTAAGAAAAAGAAATTTTATTTTTTTGTTGCAACTTTTTCCCCTTTTCTCTTCTTAATTTCATAGTGATTGCATTTTTTTCTTTTCTTTTTTTTGAAAATTCTAACGGAAATCGAGAACAAAGCTACAACCATATATGCTTACTGCCTAAAACATTTGGTTCAAATTAATATTTTGCCAACCGAAGAAAGCGAGTCGAAAAAACAAATAAACCTGATTATATTCAATTTTAAAGTTATTGCTTAAAAAGTTTAACACCCTTACCATATTATTTATTGCCTTGCTATTCTTTCTGACATTTTTTGATCTTAAATGTAGCAAAGTGAAAATTAGCGAAATATATCACAAATTGAATTTAGGCTCAGTTGTTGTCCCATTACCTCCAATACAATTTTCACCTGTCATGCAAGTAAACAAACAAAAAAAAAAGAGAAATCGTCAAAGTATAATGCTGTGTTTTTATTTTTTCATACATAAAGGTAGCAGATTTATATCTAATTTTTTTATATAAATAATCATTTAAAATTCCATCATCAAAGTATAATTGTATATTTTTACTTCTTTATAGGCAAAGATACGTCATTTTGTTTATAAGTAATTTTTTAATGCATAAAGAGTCTTTTAAAATTAATTAATAACATACCTATAAATACTATAACACCATAGTTGGCCAGATTTGTTTTTATTAAATTTCATTATTTTTCGTTTTCATTAAATTTCGTTACAAATATCTTTTTTTTAGAATTCATTATTTTCCCTCTTTTACTATTTCATCCTTAATTAATATAATTTTTTCTCCTTTCTACTTTTCATTTCGAGAATACCTCATATTTGACGGTTTCATTGATTTAAAAGGGAAATGATTGCTTAATCCCAAGTAAATTAAATAATCATAATTGTTTGGTTGGTATAGCTTATCAAATATTCAAAAATTATGAAATATTTTTATGTAGCCCATAAAATTTCCCAACTTTTTTGAAATATTTCATAATATGTATGCGTATATATCATATTTAACACTGCCGTTATCTGTTTATTTGTCTATTTATTCACCTGAAATTAATTAACTGTCCCCTCGCTAAATTAATTAAATCCCCCCTCGTCCCTCCACTCTTTTTTTCAAACATTCCAGTTAAAATTAACGGGCAAACTAAACAGATGAGTCATTTGGTAATTGATGGCTGGACGGACCAGTAAGAAGATAAGTTTGATGCTGATAACAGGAGGCTGCTATTGATGTTATTGTTGTTGTTGTTGTTGCAATGAGAAGTTGAAAGTATTGAAGAGACAGGATGAGAGATATAGATAGATAGTGAGGGAAAGAGAAGTAGAAGTGTTCGAATAATAATCGGACTTTTTGTTTTTTTAATCTTATTTTAATCTCTCTGTTCCTCTTTCATCTTCTCTCTCTGCTTGCCCTTTATCTCCTCCCTCATATTTTTTTTTCTTTTCTCTTTTCTATTACAGGATGATGACACTTCTCCGTTCCTCAATATCTTCTTGTGTTGGTAAGAATTTCAATTTGTTTTCAGACGAAGATTCTTTTTTTTCTTTTTTTTTTTTTTTTAAACTATGGTTCAGCTATGATAATCAAAGGCCAAACATTAATAAACGTTAAACAATACTATCAAAAATTGTTTAGTCGTTCTTTCGCCTTCCATCTCCACACTTTTTCCCTGCTGTTTTTTCCCCTCACTCTCTCTTTTTTCCAATCAATTTTCTGTCTCCTGGGTTATATTTATATAATAATTTAATTCGTTGAATCTTTGTTGTTGAAGGTCTGGATGAACTGGCTCAAAAAGATTCAAAGTTTTTTCCCCTCAACATTTCAAATTGTTGAACTGAAGTATAAATTTGCATTTGAACATGAATTTTATCGACTCATTTATGATTATGCTATGGTATCTGTTGGGATTAAGATAATGTTTTATATTATTTTACCCGTGTTTTGTAATGTATTGGTAATAAACACTTTATTTTAGCTAAATGGATACGTTATTCACAAACGACTTCAGCAATATTAGGCGAACCATCACAACCCAATGTATGTGGTATCTTTCCAGGTCCAAAATCAAAACGGATGCAGATTGAAATGGACTTAAATCATGTTAGTTGTTAAACATCCTTGCTTTCTCTTTCACTTCTTTTTATTTAGCGGGCAAACAGAAATTTAGAAATAGAAGATAGCAAATAGAAATTAGTGGGAATTTTTTAAATTATCACATTCCATCTTCAAAGTGAATAAATCATCTAGTCGGGATTGTTAACTTTTTAATGAATAAAACGTGGCAAGGTCGTTTGCTTGTCTGCTTGGAACATTTTTGTATTGGGTTTGATTTTAAAAAATACAACATTTGGTTGATTTCGAGCCCCTGTAATTTGTGGAAGATTAATCACTTTTATTATATGGAAACAGATATTAGGATCTAACATTATTGCCGAGATCTTAGTTGTGGAACAAAGTTTATTTCAATGACTTTTCCAGAGGAGATGAAATTTTAATAATAATTTTCTATAGGATTGCACAAATTCCTCGTATCACTTCTATTTTACTGTTAAGAAATCGTCGGTCTGTCCAACGTTGTTATCATGGAGTGCTGTTACTAAAGTACTGAAGTATCTATTTATGTTCCGGGTGCATCACATGTTTTTTTTTTCGACATTCTCTGCTAGTTTTAGCTGATCATGGAAAATCATTGCTGAAGATTGTACGACATTTCAACATTTCAGCAAGCAGCTTCGGTGAAATGTTTCATTGATTATGAGAAATCGAAAGGAAATTATTTCGTTGATGCGGATGGAAATGTCCTTCTTGATGTGTATATGCAAATTTCTTCATTGGTGCTTGGTTTGTCTTCACTATTTTTTTTTCTAAATCGCTTTTTATTTTCAAAACCAACTAAAATTCAGAATTCTGCTAAATTTCATTACGAGTGCGTCATTTTTTCAGGGTACAATCATCCAGATTTGGTCCGAGCTGTTTCAGATCCCCGCTTTGTGGTATGTGGTATGCTATCTTCGTTGTAATTATTGAAAGAAAAAAAAAGTCTTCACTTTTGCAGCTTTAATGCTATTTATCAGTCTTTGAAACCACTGAAAAATCACAAATTAGTTCGGCCAGTAGGTTTTATCCTCGAATGGCAAGTTTATGTACACTAAACGTAGCAAAAAAAAAGAAAAAAATGGATTTCAGGCAACAGCAGTAAGCAGGCCAGCACTGGGATCGTTTCCACCCACTTTTTTTGTAGATGCTCTGAAGAATTCGCTGAGTTCGGTGAGTGATTTCTTTTGAATCCATGATGTAACTGGTATAAAATGCCTTCGTATTTAGAAGTTATTGTACTGAATTGATTTTCCTGCATCAAATTTGCCAATAAAGTGGCAATCACTAATGATATTAAGTAGCTGTGAAGTTAGGGTTGTTTCGATACAATTTCTCCTTACAAAAGTACTTCCATTATCCTTCCAATTCTTATAAGTATTTTTGAATAAGTTTTAAAAAATTGTCTAAATTTAAAACTTCAACTAGTTCTTCCATCTTTTTAATGTAATAATTCACATACTCAGATAGCACCGAAAGGGTGTCATGGAGTACAAAATGTATTGTGTGGGACATCATCCAACGAGAATGCAATCAAGGCAGCGTTTATGTGGTATCAAGCGCAGAAACGTGGTGGCATTCCTCCAACCAAAGAGGATCTTGATTCATGTATGAAGCACGAATTACCTGGAACACCAAATTTGTCCGTCTTGTCATTTGTTGGGTCATTTCATGGTCGCTCATTAAGTTAGTTCCTTTTTTGATGGTATTGATGAGGATCAAGGAAAATACAAATTTGAAGCATCGTGGGTTTTTTGTGAATAACCTTTCTGTTCTCTTTATATCATACTCTCTGCGCCTTCAGATATCTTTTAAATTCTCCTTTGACTAAGATTTAATTTCCATGAGAAGGTGACAAAGTGGGGAGTTAGAAACGAAAAAAAATCAGGAGACCTAAATATACATGAAATGAAGAGAATTGGTAAAAGGGACAAGAGCAAAAAATTCGTAAGATTAGGCTCTGCCTTTCGAAAGTAACTAAGCAACATCATAATTTTTTTTGTGATCTGAATTAAATAACCCATCATCACTTTCCAGCCGCGCTATCAATAACTCATTCCAAAGCAATTCATAAGGTCGATTTACCGGCTTTTCGATGGCCTGTTGCTGAATTTCCATGCTATAAATATCCGCTTGAAAAGAATGTTTCTTATAATGAGCAACAAGATCAAAAATGTCTTGCGAATGTTAGTTAATTTCACTACTTAACGTATGCAAGTTTAAAGTAGTTATCTCTGGCCGGTATATGTCATGTTGGTATATGTCATTTTGCAACATATAAGTAATCAGTGTTAGCAAGTCAAATCTATTTTGATCACAATTTCATATGGAAGGACATAAGGTTTTATAAACAAACCACTTATATTTTATATCTTTTGGCAAAACCATAACTACGACGAGAATCATACACTGTTTGAATTAGAATTACGTGTTTAATGGCCTTGTGATGTTCTATTTTCCAATTTTTGAATAAGTTTGTTGCAGGTAGAACAATTAATAAAAAAGTGGAAGGAAATGAAGCACGATGTAGCTGCTGTGATTGTCGAACCAATTCAGGGTGAAGGTGGTGATAATCATGGCTCTCCGGCCTTTTTTCAAGGTCTTCGCGATATAACGGCAAAGCATGGCGTTGTTTTTATTGTTGATGAAGTATCTCATTTCGTAAACTTCTATCATTGTTTTAAAATATTGTGCAATAGCAAATTGGACCGGCATAAAGGGTTATTTCCACAGGGGAGAGCAGATCATTGGAAGAACATAATTAATCCTATCACTACCACTACTTAAATCTATAACTATAATATCAGAGTGGTATTTATTCTTCAAAAGCCGACAGCATAAAATTTACCGTAATCTTGTAATTCGGCAATTCTATGTATATTTCCTAAAGCAGATTATAAAAATAAGGAAAAAATCAACGAAGAGATAACATGATGTGTCTAAGGTTCAAACTGGTGGAGGTGGGACGGGAACGTTCTGGGCACATGATTCATGGAATCTAAGCAGTCCACCAGATATTGTTGTTTTTGCGAAAAAATTGATGGTTGCTGGTTATTTCTATGCGGATCACCTCAAGATGAAAGAGGTTGGTGTTATTTGCGTATTATATGTTTTATCCCATCGTTTGCAAGCTTCTTTCAGAACATTCTTTATCTTCTGATGACTTGCGAAACCGTCGGTAAAATTACTGAATTTAATTCTTGATTCTAGACTACTTAATTACTGATTTTATTTGCTCATTTCGGTTACTCATTTGTCATGTTTCAATTCTCCGATTTGGCGGGATGAACAGAAAATAGACGGAGACAATTGTTATCAATGTTGATAAATTAACACGTTGAAAATTTTGACTAAACTTCATTTTCAAATTAACAAAATTTATTGTTTTTGAAACTTGTGGTCCCTGCTGCACATGAAAAAGCCAAAGCGTGCCTGGGCAAGAAAAAGCTAGGAACCATTGATTTAAAGAGTGTTTTCAATTTTTCAAAATTTTCCATCATCTTATCGTTCCATGGTTTTATATATGCTTATTTAATTCAAGCAACTTTCAGCCATATAGAATTTATAATACATGGCTTGGTGATCCGACAAAGGTAATTCTGCTGGAAAAGGCATTACAAGTCATAAGAAGAGATAATTTACTGGAACAAATGCGAAAAATTGGAAAAGCATTGCACAGTGAACTGCGGAAAATCGAAGTAATTCTTTTAAATGTTTGGAGTAAATACTGATGGTTAATATGGTTATACTGCTAGTGAATCGATATGGAATGCTAATAAAAATGAATAAAATGTTTTCATGGATTCATCGATTTTCTTGATGGCGGTATTTCAAAATTGGTCTTTTGGATTACACTTATTATTTCATAAGATAGAAGCATAGGAATGGAAAAGAAAATGTATTGTCAAAATGCATCGACTCCCATAAATATCGAATGGTGATTTTAATTTCAGGGTACCAACAATTCGGTGATGCGAAATGTAAGAGGTCTTGGAACATTTTGCGCGTTTGATATGCCTGACACAGCTACTCGCGACAAATTTTTAGAAATAGCTGGGAACAACGGTATATAAATCTGTTTGAATTCCGCTTTTCTTGTTCTTTCTGTAAATTTATCCATAGTTAACTCTCATATTTTCTGCAAAATTACTAGCATACTTTATATAATAATGGGAATTCGTATGGGTCATTCAGTTAGTTAGATCTCTGTTATAATTTAACCGCTCATTGAAAGGATTTCTTTTTATTGTTCTGTATATTAACCGTTTTTGTGTAACTTCAGCTATCAGATAAGATCGAGACGGAATATCGCAGCGAAAAATTTATAAATTAAATTGGAATAACTTTAAAAATTTCTCTTTTCTAATTCCACTCTAAATTTCATGCAATGTATATCATTTTCAGGATTACTTCTTGGTGGTTGTGGAAAAGCCACAGTTCGATTTAGACCATCACTTATTTTTGGTGAAAAACACCTCGAAATAACATTGGATATTATTACTAAATCATTGTCGGAATTGTAAACAATGCTATCTTTCAGATAGTGCTTTCTTCCAGATAGTTACTTTTCTTTTAAAAGGGAAATACACAGAAGTCATAAATTGTTGCTGGTTAAATGTACATTTAATGTAGTGGTGCTGCACAACGCTTTTCGAATGAACATTCTTTTCCTACTGATGTAATTTCAGAAAATAGTCATCTCCTAGTTGCATGTCAGTCTCAGATGGGAAGAATAATTAATGGATTGAACTTCCGATTTCAAGTTGATGTATTATATTAAAGTGGCCCTAGATTTGCAGATGATTATAACTTATTAATGACATTTGTATGTTTTTTTAAGGGAATTGAACATAGTGAAATATATCAAATATAAAAACTTCTGTCGATACATATATGTTGTGATTGCTATTTGCATTATCAATTCATTCCGAAATTTCAGTTGATTTAGACTTCCAATTTAGAATTTCATCGAATTCATCACTTCTTTCCCAGTAATTATTGCTGCCTTTTATTATACCGGTTGTAGCTGTTTCATTATTGACAGTAAGCGATAATTTTTTTTTTAATTCAGATTTCATTATTGATGTGGTTGATTGAATCAATAATAAATAAATTTTATGAGCATATTGACTTTTGACCGAATATTCACATTCGACAAATGTCTTTAAAGTTTTCCATCAAAGATCCATCGAAATCAGCATGGGTCAAATAAAATTTCCTAAATTCGAAAGAAGGTAGTTAAAAAATATTTTGAAGAAATGATTGATGATTAATATGTCAATAATCCATCGGATTATTTGATTATTGAATAAATATATTACGAAAAAGCAAATCTGCGAGTGCTGTGTGATTATATTTAAGGAATTATAGTAATTCCAACTGAAGAGAAAATGAAGAGAAATGAAATGATATGTTAGATTGTGTAACGATAGAATTTGAAGTGTATATCATTTCAAAGTCTTAAATAGTTTGGGAAGTTCAGAATTTCTTTCAATTATTGAAAGATACGAGATCTTATGATAAGCTGATTTATTCTATGGTTTTTCAATTATTATAAATAAAAAGCGAAACAAAAATTCTCATGGACAAGAAATATTGAGAAATTTAAATGGTAGTGAGTGATATAGTGGATGGAACAGTTTAATTAGCACTTGCTAAATGAAGTTGCTAATTAAAATGAGATAATGAGTTCATAGTTAAGGTTTCTTCATAAAATTTTCACGTCATTTTACGGATTGGACATTTCCATTTTATTTCCAAGTGTGTTACAGTGTGTGATTTTAGGTTAAAGTAACATTGAATTAAAGTCACTTGTCAATTTTTCATCATAATGAAATGCTTATTACATCTAAATTTGAGAAATTAATTTTTCCATATATATTTTGTAGCATAATTTTTATATATGTAAAGGATATAGTTCATTATTTTTTAGATGTTTACAACTGATTATTACGATAACTATAATATGAACACCGTTACATTGCCACCCTGTCAACCATTCATATATTTTATCTCATTTGTCAACTTTCCATACAATTACTCAATCATCTAGAAAATTTACTTCTTTTTTCTTAATTTCTTTTATTTTTTTTATTTTTAATCTCTTATTTGTTGTTTAATACGTTTAGTGCGTGCACTGTTTAATTAAATAATAGAAAACGTTATTTTAAACCACATTACCTTCACAATATTGTGTTATCTGAAACTCTAAGTTGAGAACTAATATTATCAACTTAAAATCCTTAGGTATGTTCCATTTTGCTAGATTCCAGATCATTCCTTCAATTCTAACTTTATTTTAAGAGTATGAAAAGTTCTGAGGAGTTGGGTCTTTCGGTTTTCATTTCATTCACAGAAATGCATTACATATATTTCACCATCCAACAAATTTATTAAAATTGAAAATTCCACAACAAGTACATACATATTATTTTTACTGAAAATCAAATCATGTAAATGCTAATATTATCAGAAAAGGATTAAGGAAAGATTTAGCATGTCATCATTGTGTCGCATTTAGTATGACTGTAAAGCTTATAAAACATTCTTCTTATTGTGTGTTATTGTGGTTTCTACAAACTCATTATTTGCTCATAGATCCATTAATGAATTCATACTATTAATTCGACTTTTTTTATCTGAAATGTGATTTAAACTCTCATATTTTTGTTAAGTAACATAATGAAATTTGTTGAACAATTTGGATTTTTATTAATTTTATGCCAGATTTCTTTCCCAAGAATATACTGTTTCAACAACCGAAATTGGCATTCCGAATTTAAAGCTTCGATATTTATTATCTCTTGGCTAAACTTACTACAGTCATTGCATCACTGTCCCGACAACTAGTAAAATTATCGAAATTTGGCCAGCGAATTATGCGACAATTTTTCGTCGAAAAAGTATCGGTAAGCTTTAAGCTTTATACTCAATGATTATACAGAACGAAGATAGCTGTATCTTCACTGCTTGATATCCACATTATCAACGTAAGAGGGATTTGAATATTGGAAGTATCAGTTAATCGATATTTGGGTTTTTTTCTAAACAGCTGTAGATTTCTCGAAAATGCATAATGCATACATAATGTTTGAAGGTAAATATTTGACCGATGAAGCCAATGACGATGAATCTTTGGTCATTTTACGTGAAACAATTGAACGTTTCGGAAATGTCATGTCGTTTGTAACACCACATAACCATTGTTCAAAATGTTTCATTAAATCTTATTACCGTTACGTTGCTTGTACCGACTCCTTCTATTGCAGTTTCCTAGCAAAATTCAGGTACGTACATCAGAGAAACTGTTGATTTTTGAAATTAAAAATTATTTTTTTATATTGTTGTTGAGGCCCATCTCAACAAAATTTCATTTAAGCACGTTAATTTTTCAGTGGTATCTTATGAAAATATTTGGAAACATCCATTGATAAAGAGAGATGAATATTTAATATGCAAAGTTAAATAATTAAGTTGCAATAATAAGATGTTGTTTTTCTACCTAGCAACTATAACTTTACCAAATGTGGGCCTTTTTGCAAAAATGTCAATTTTTGTAGTGAAATAATGTTGCACATTTCAATATCTGTTAACACTTAATAAGCTACGCTTTATTTGTAGAACAAATATACATATGTATATGGTTATTATATAAATTAATGGAATTATTGGAGTAGAATCTACTGTTCATTTTAAAATCTACAATGATTTGTTCATATATTACACATTATAGGTGTATATTATTATCATTTCAGGATCAAAACATGAACATCGAAGAGTTAAGAGATTTTATGTTTTATGATAATTGTCAAATTCATTACTTTTTCTGGTGTGAAATAATTAACTTGTTTGGATTTCCTAAAACTTTTGTAAAACAATTTCATATTTTTACGGGAACAAATGTATCATACAATTAATAATAATATTATTGTTTTCTCCTCTTCCTTTTGCTTATTCAACATTTGTTGAATATTTAATATTTTTGTTTCTCATTCATGCAATAAATAATGTTTTGTTATAAATACTTTTTCTATACATTAACAAATAAAACCAACAACACCTCTATATATTGGAAATAAAAACATGTTTTATCTTATCATTTATTGTATGTAAATGAATAATACCGTAGTATACCATCTTGAAATCATCTAAACATAGATGGCTAAGTTATACAATAATTTGAAATGAACAATAAATTAACAAATTGTGCCCAATATTTATTTTCAGTAATTAATAAAGTAACAAATAAGTGAATCTTTAATGTCGTAGAATTCAGTTTATTTGCTATACAAATTGAAAATCAAAATGAAAAACAAAATTAATCGTATATACAAAATACCCAAATACTCTATTAATCATTTGCAACTTCAATGGAATACTTTTGTGGTGCACCATCCGGTCCTTCAAAAAGTAACACCGTACTATCACGTTGTTGAAAATCTCGTATGTGGAATTTACCGCCCGAATAATTCATTCGTCCTTCGTAAAATTTCATCTGAATTTGAAAAAATAAATTTTCAAATGTACATTTATATTGCAAAAAAAGATCATGCATCTCGTTTAACATTTACAAAGATCATGCACATAATAGTGACTAATATCAGAGGTATAATAGTAATTAATAAAATAATTAGATAATTCTTTTCTACTGAATTGCGAAGTTTACATTTGCGGAAATCGATAATAATAATAATAATAATAATAATAATAATAATAATAATAATAATAATAATAATAATAATAATAATAATAATAATAATAATAATAATAATAATAATAATAATAATAATA